AGCACTGTGTTTGTATATTTAGGGTTGTGATGGCGGCTGTTGTGATCTGGTTCTACGGGTTCTACGGAACGATTCTTACTCATTTACGCCTTGCTTTGCTTGTTAACGCTCTAAAAGTAGCGCACACGGATGGTCTTTTTGTGCGGTGCAGTGCGTGTGTTGACCATGGGCTTGCTTCAAGTTCAAAGGTACCCTTTTCGTCTCTGCCGTGTTTTGTGTTTGTACTAAGAGATTTACAACGTTTCGTTGGCTCTTTAGAGAGACCGCATCAAACAGTTTCTCAGCATATTTGACGGGATTTCGCACATATGTGTAATACGGTGGTGGAACCTTTCAGCAAAATTATAGTCTTCAGGGATGACGTGCTTGCGGACATGGTTGCAACTTCTGCTGGTCGCCTCTCTACAGAGAGTCGAGCTCCGGGAACACTCCGATGAGGTGCACAATGCTTCTCAACTCCGCGCGGCGGCTTCTCTCACTTCTGAAAGTGCGGACATCCGCTTCATCGCGGTTAGGCCTGCCTGGACGACTGCGCCGATTGCATGACTCATGCTGATTGCCGGGAACATCTATCGAAATCCCAGGCCGTCGCCAACCTCCCCGAGCTGCGAGAAAGCGGTTTACAACAACGTGGCCGCCCTAAAATGTGACCTGTGTGATTGGTGGCTCCATGGGAAGTGTGAAGGGCTGTCGCTACTCGCCTACCGATGCTTGGCCTCCTCGCCGGGCACTGGTTTTGTGGCTCATGCCAGCTTCCTCCCTCCGATGACTCGCACCCCGCACCCATATCCACCGGTGTCGTGCCCCCCCCCCCCCCCCCCCCCCCCCCCCCCCCCCCCCCCCCTTCCCCCCACGAAACTGCCAGGCCCATCGCCCGGGACACAAAACGGAGTGACGCTAGTAACCGACGTACTCCTCCCGCACCGAGGAAGCGGCGACACATCGGCATCCGGTATACAAACGCTCTATCCATCAAGAACAAACTCGGACCTCGTTGTCTTGTTTGAAACTTCGCCGAACACAATCTTTGGGGTCTCAGAAACCTGGTTGGATGATACAATATTCGAAGGACAAATTGCTGACACCCAAAAGTTTAGCATCTTCCGGAAAGACAGGATCTCATCGAGAGGGGCAGGAGTTGCCCTGATTGTACTGTCTCAGTTCACATGTGAACGGCGAAGGAACCTCAAACACATAGTTGCATGGATGCCAGCCTCCCCACAGTACCAGCACACATGTGTACATTCCCTACATAGTGCAGTAAATATATCATACTTCTATCTAATTCAAATAAGGGAAAAGAAAAAAAACTAATTATTTTGGGACAGACATTCATTCTGGCCAAATGAAACAAGTATTATGTTTGCCAATTTCATTCCCTTCCCATCCCACTCTTTATTTAGTCGTAATAAACACCAGAAATGCCCAGATTCATTTTTGATCATTTAGAAAAACAAAGCATGACAAAAAAATTTTCATAGGAAAAAAAATCTTTTATTTAAAGAGGCACATGTTTCTATACTTCAGTAATTAATCCACCACCTTCGGGCACCTCTGGAGTAAATCGTAGGGTGATGCAGGTCACTTCAAGAGGGCAAGGGAAACGTTAGCAGGATCAAGCTGGCAAGCGGAGAGACTGACTGTTTATGAAGAAGGGATGAAAGCGGTTTCGTGATACACATCATCACTTCACTTATCCACAAGCTCCGTAGTCTATATAATCACCTCCTCTTCCCTCAGGCCTTCCTGGTAAAGGGAAGTGAATCTATTAATGTGAAACATAAAACAAGTGAAACAAGCACATACTATTTGTGGCTGTCTTTCTTTCAAAAAAGTAGCATAGCACATATTTTAATTTTCCTTGCCATTTTTTTGTATCTTTACGCTGCATTTCATTTAGATCTTACATATAGGTAGAGCCCTGCGTGGATAACAGTTTAATTATCTGCAGACTTTGTATTCGAACCGTATCCGCAAACTTTTTACATTATTGTATCCGTATCCGATCTGCATCTGCATACTTTGTATCCAAACTGTATCCGCATACTTTTTACATTATTGTATCCGTATCCGAACCGCATCCGCAAAATGTGGAACCAGATCCGACTCACAATCCAGGCATTCATTGTAAAATAGAAATGACACTTTTTAAGCTGTTTGCTTATCTTTGTACCAAAGAAATCTGGCTCGCCATTCAAAGGAAGTGTCATTTTATCATTATCAGTTTCATCGGATTTATATTAAAAGCGATTAGGAAAAATCATCTCAGTTATGTGATCATCCTAGGAATCCGCGACACTCTGCCCAGAAGGAGCGCACAAAAAGGTTATATATGTTTTTTTTTTTTTTTTTGCTTTGTAACACCTATTTTATGCGGACGCATACTTTTGAAGGATAAAAGTTAAAAAAGGGCATACTAAATATGACATTACAGTTCTGTTAAACAATTAAAAAGTAATAGAGGTTCATATTAGTCCGGCTACGACGCACTGGCGTCGTAATTGGACGAACATGAACTACCAGGCGTTTTGGCTAGGGCTCTAAGCATACAAAAAAGAAACACAGAGGCAGTTTACCGTCTGCCTATGCAAGTTCGCTGTTGACTCTGAAACTTTACAAACCGTGGTGCCACAGGGTCGCACTCGCTGTCGAGGCACTTTTTGTTTTTAATCATGACCACACTACTCTTTGCGAAGAGGGGGACGTTTCTTTACTTCCTTGTGACTTGTACGTTTGAAGTTTTCTTTGCCCAGAAAAAGTTACAGCTCTTTCCCTGCCAATGTGCTAGCTTTCTTGGGACAATTGATGCCCTGCAATCTTTACTTTTTTTAAAGGTAGCATTTTTGACGAGAGGAAACACACTAACTGAAGCGATCTTCAGTGAGAATCAGATCTTTCTTAGGATCCCTATTGTTTCTTCGAAACGCGTTTTTGTGGAAATATGTATCGGTGGACAACTTTTCATGGACAAACGGTTCATCGACGCTGTACGTTTTGTGGGCACATGCCGCTGCAATGTTTTGTCGACAACGCATTTCTTCACCAAGCTGCTAAAAGCTAGCGAGCTTAACCAAACCATGCCCCCCTCTCCCCTGTAATCCAGGCGAGACTCAACAAGTTTGTTACAAAAATAGCAAGGTTGTGTGCAACAAAACATCTCAGGTTTTTCGATGAAACGAACAGGAGAAGCCTTTCGATCAAACGTTTCATCTCGACGAAACGATTTGTAGATGAGACGTCAGTCGACGAACTGAATGCCGCTGGGCAAAAATTTAAATCCGTATCCGCTGATATTCGCAGCCTCTGCCATCCAATCTGCAATCTGCCAAAATTTGTTTAATTTTCATCCGCATCCGCCCGTTTACTGCAGATATCCACAGGTAATCCGCGGATATGCAGGGCTCTACATATAGGTATCCAAGATTTTCCATTGTTTGGAGTTAGCAGCTGCTACAGAAAAGCTTAATCAAAATGCTTCCATCCTTATAGGGCAAAAGACAAGAAATGCAAAAAAGTATCATAGCATATATTTTCATTTCGCTTGCCATTTTTTTGTACCTTCACGCTACATTTCAATAAAATCGGAAACTAAAATAGTGTACTACATTTTCTTACAACATTTGCAAAAATGTTACTCTTTTCAAAATGTTACACCAATAAATAACTTGTTACTGCATGTTGTGTTTCATTGTGAACTTCAAAATAATGTTAAAAACAATATTGTCAAACAATTTCTTGAATATAAGTATTTGCAACAATTATTTGAAGTTTGAAAAACAGATATGTGATCAAACCAATACATTATTTCAGTATTACTATTTAACATTTATTTACTATTTTGCATTGAATGTTATGTTTCCTTGTAAGCTTCAAAATGACATTGGAAATATATGTTAAAATGTTATTTCAGTGTTACTTCTTGCAACATTATTTCATGGTTCTCCATTCACTGTTACTATGTTTCATTGTAAACTTCAGAATAATGTTAGGAGCATAATGTTACTAAATGTTACATTAATGTTAGTGCTCACAACATTGCTTTACAGTTATGTATTGAATGTTGTTATAATGTGTCGTACACAACATTATCGTTATATGTTTAATTTGAATGTTACACCAACATTGATAACATACCTAAAACGTTGAGTGTTTTATTTGAACGTTGCCGTAACATTTACACCTAACACAAAACGTTATTTCAACTTACACAACAAAAAAATAATGTTATTATAATGTTTTGTGCTACCTGGGATATGACAACTCGTTCTACTGAGCAATCCATGTTGAGGAGTTTCGCAGGTAGTATATTGCAAAACAAACATCTTGTCTCAAATATATTGTACAGCCTTAATTAATGTGAGTCAAGAAATAATTCTGGTGTCAGTTGTGTTATGTATAACTTTGAGCAGGTTAGAAATACCCAATGCAGCAACCCGCATCTCAGAAATATCTAAGGTGCCTTAGGCTTGGTTCACCCATTTATGTCTGAGCGTGATCAAATTCACCGTGCTCGCTTGTAGCCGCCTACGACAAGAGAACACACTCACACGGTGGCGCCATTTATTAGACAGCCCTGGAACACTCCCGATGTGTATACAATTAAACTGTAGATTGGGCAGTATTTGATAGATCAAATGTAGGCACTGTCTGTAAGAAAAAGTCGTTTATAGCATTGTCAGATTAATTTCAAGCCCACGGTAAAAGAAGGATGCGTAAAAAAAATATGTGCGCAGGTTGAAAGTGTTTTTGCGCTGCCCGATCGGTGATGTGTTCTCTCCTTGTAAGCATTTACAAGAGAATGCAACACATTCAAGCGTACGGAACGAGAACTGTGTGAATCATCCTTAACTGCTCGACTTACGAACGAAACTTACTTCGGTTGGAACCTGCAAGCGTACATTCAAACAAGTCAAAGATGGCAGTAGTGCGAATGAGTCTTCTAATTGTAAAAGGACACGTGCTCTACGGGGAAAAAAAAGAGAGGTGTCTAAAGTGCTCACCCCTTTTCCTGAGCCGGCAGTTTCGAGCAGCATGTGATATTCGTTGATATAGCGATCCCAGAACAGACAGCTGATGGCCATTTGCACACCGAAACACACAATGACAAAGATGATTTTTTTCACAGGATGCTGGATCACAGAGAAGGTGGAGATGCCTGCCAATTAGAAAAAAAAAAAAAACTAATTAGCCCACGTAAAATCCCGAATAAACGCCCACCCCTGGTAAATAGATAAATGGTGAAAATATTAGGTGTACAATCTTTGGAGGTGAGACAGCAAAAGTTAATAAAACAAAATAACCGATAAACACCAGCGCACCCGCTACCAACTACATGAAACGATACCGCGCACAAATTACGGACACCGTAGATTTGAGTTCCAGGGTGCACTAAACACGCGGGAACCGACTATGGACTCGCACATCATGGGAACCGATTTCGCACGCGCAGACCATGGAAAGATCAGACTCAGGTTGTGCAATGCGATCAACACGCAAGGATTGTCTAAGAACTTGCTTGTCACACATACAGATAACGCAGATCGCGCGGTTGACGCAATTGCCGTAGGACATCACGTGATGTTCGGCGGGAATACGAGGTGGGCGACGTTTCGGTATTTTGACGGAACATATAAATACTCTGCTCTTCATTCATGCATAATCGTTTTTCTATACTCGGGTTTAAAAAGTCACAGCTGTCAAACTACCTCAACTAAATGCATTTGGAAAGATATCTGAAGATAGACAAATACCTCTAATTGTGTTTGTTTTTAAATACTTTTTTAAACTTGTAATTGCGTCTGGAATTAAATACATTTCTATCAGAGTGCTTTGTATTTGTTGTTCAATGTTTTTGTGTGCACGGATTTCGCTCATCCTGACAACCGATAAGTGTTTACTTCAAGGGTGCGAGTTCTTCATTTTTTCACGCGTCCCAAGACGAGCCGAGCACAAAGGCAGCTTGCGAAAGTCATTAAATATTTTCATATTTCTGGTGCTCATGCGCCGATAACTGTACGCGCTTCCGAAGCCAGATGCCAAAGTTTCAGAACGAACCGTTGTCTTATTTAAAAGTTTTGTGATTTTCTAAAATCTTTAATGGGAAAATGGCGGCCGACGGAGCTCTCGAATACATGGAGCTGAATGAAGCCATGTTATCGAAAACGGGCGACCGGTTGAAAACGGGCGAATGGTTGAAAGCGGGCGAATGGTTGAAAGCGGGCAAACGGTTGAAAGCGGGCAAACGGTTGAAAACGGGCCAACGCTTGAAAACGGGCCAACGGTTGAAAACGGGCCAACGGTTGAAAGCAAGCAAACGGTTGAAAACGGGCCAACGCTTGAAAACGGGCAAACGGTTGAAAACGGGCAAACGGTTGAAAACGGGCAAACGGTTGAAAACGGGCCAACACTTGAAAACGGGCCAACGGTTGAAAACGGGCAAACGGTTGAAAACGGGCCAACGGTTGAAAACGGGCGAATGGTTGAAAGCGGGCAAACGGTTGAAAACGGGCCAACGCTTGAAAACGGGCCAACGGTTGAAAACGGGCCAACGGTTGAAAGCGGGCAAACGGTTGAAAGCGGGCAAACGGTTGAAAACGGGCCAACGGTTGAAAACGGGCCAACGGTTGAAAACGGGCAAACGGTTGAAAACGGGCAAACGGTTGAAAACGGGCAAACGGTTGAAAACGGGCAAACGGTTGAAAACAGGCAAACGGTTGAAAACGGGCAAACGGTTAAAAACGGGCAAACGGTGGAAAACAGGCAAACGGTGGAAAACGGGCAAACTGTAGAAAACGGGCAAACGGTGGAAAACGGGCAAACGGTGGAAAACGGGCAAACGGTTGAAAACGGGCAAACGGTTGAAAACGGGCAAACGGTTGAAAACGGGCAAACGGTTGAAAACGGGCAAACGGTTGAAAACGGGCAAACGGTTGAAGACGGGCAAACGGTTTGAAAACGGGCAAACGGTGGAAAACGGGCCGACGCTTGAAAACGGGCCAACGGTTGAAAACGGGCAAACGGTGGAAAACAGGCAAACGGTGGAAAACGGGCAAACGGTTGAAAACGGGCAAACGGTTGAAAACGGGCAAACGGTTGAAAACGGGCAAACGGTTGAAAACGGGCAAACGGTTGAAAACGGGCCAACGGTTAAAAACGGGCAAACGGTTGAAAACGGGCCAACGCTTGAAAACGGGCCAACGGTTGAAAACGGGCCAACGGTTGAAAGCGGGCAAACGGTTGAAAGCGGGCAAACGGTTGAAAACGGGCAAACGGTTGAAAACGGGCAAACGGTTGAAAACGGGCAAACGGTTGAAAACGGGCAAACGGTTGAAAACGGGCAAACGGTTGAAAACGGGCAAACGGTGGAAAACAGGCAAACGGTTGAAAACGGGCAAACGGTTGAAAACGGGCAAACGGTTGAAAACGGGCAAACGGTTGAAGACGGGCAAACGGTTTGAAAACGGGCAAACGGTTGAAAACGGGCCAACGCTTGAAAACGGGCCAACGGTTGAAAACGGGCAAACGGTGGAAAACGGGCAAACGGTGGAAAACAGGCAAACGGTTGAAAACGGGCAAACCGTTGAAAACGGGCAAACGGTTGAAAACGGGCAAACGGTTGAAAACGGGCAAACGGTGGAAAACGGGCAAACGGTTGAAAACGGGCAAACGGTTGAAAACGGGCAAACGGTTGAAGACGGGCAAACGGTTTGAAAACGGGCAAACGGTTGAAAACGGGCCAACGCTTGAAAACGGGCCAACGGTTGAAAACGGGCAAACGGTGGAAAACAGGCAAACGGTTGAAAACGGGCAAACGGTTGAAAACGGGCAAACGGTTGAAAACGGGCAAACGGTTGAAAACGGGCAAACGGTTGAAAACGGGCAAACGGTTGAAAACGGGCAAACGGTTGAAAACGGGCAAACGGTTGAAAACGGGCCAACGCTTGAAAACGGGCCAACGGTTGAAAACGGGCCAACGGTTGAAAGCGGGCGAACGGTTGAAAACGGGCAAACGGTTGAAAACGGGCAAACGGTTGAAAACGGGCAAACGGTTGAAAACGGGCAAAGGGTTGAAAACGGGCAAACGGTTGAAAACGGGCAAACGGTTAAAAACGGGCAAACGGTGGAAAACAGGCAAACGGTGGAAAACGGGCAAACGGTTGAAAACGGGCCAACGCTTGAAAACGGGCCAACGGTTGAAAACGGGCCAACGGTTGAAAGCAAGCAAACGGTTGAAAACGGGCCAACGCTTGAAAACGGGCAAACGGTTGAAAACGGGCAAACGGTTGAAAACGGGCAAACGGTTGAAAACGGGCCAACACTTGAAAACGGGCCAACGGTTGAAAACGGGCAAACGGTTGAAAACGGGCCAACGGTTGAAAACGGGCGAATGGTTGAAAGCGGGCAAACGGTTGAAAACGGGCCAACGCTTGAAAACGGGCCAACGGTTGAAAACGGGCCAACGGTTGAAAGCGGGCAAACGGTTGAAAGCGGGCAAACGGTTGAAAACGGGCCAACGGTTGAAAACGGGCCAACGGTTGAAAACGGGCAAACGGTTGAAAACGGGCAAACGGTTGAAAACGGGCAAACGGTTGAAAACGGGCAAACGGTTGAAAACAGGCAAACGGTTGAAAACGGGCAAACGGTTAAAAACGGGCAAACGGTGGAAAACAGGCAAACGGTGGAAAACGGGCAAACTGTAGAAAACGGGCAAACGGTGGAAAACGGGCAAACGGTGGAAAACGGGCAAACGGTTGAAAACGGGCAAACGGTTGAAAACGGGCAAACGGTTGAAAACGGGCAAACGGTTGAAAACGGGCAAACGGTTGAAAACGGGCAAACGGTTGAAGACGGGCAAACGGTTTGAAAACGGGCAAACGGTGGAAAACGGGCCGACGCTTGAAAACGGGCCAACGGTTGAAAACGGGCAAACGGTGGAAAACAGGCAAACGGTGGAAAACGGGCAAACGGTTGAAAACGGGCAAACGGTTGAAAACGGGCAAACGGTTGAAAACGGGCAAACGGTTGAAAACGGGCAAACGGTTGAAAACGGGCCAACGGTTAAAAACGGGCAAACGGTTGAAAACGGGCCAACGCTTGAAAACGGGCCAACGGTTGAAAACGGGCCAACGGTTGAAAGCGGGCAAACGGTTGAAAGCGGGCAAACGGTTGAAAACGGGCAAACGGTTGAAAACGGGCAAACGGTTGAAAACGGGCAAACGGTTGAAAACGGGCAAACGGTTGAAAACGGGCAAACGGTTGAAAACGGGCAAACGGTGGAAAACAGGCAAACGGTTGAAAACGGGCAAACGGTTGAAAACGGGCAAACGGTTGAAAACGGGCAAACGGTTGAAGACGGGCAAACGGTTTGAAAACGGGCAAACGGTTGAAAACGGGCCAACGCTTGAAAACGGGCCAACGGTTGAAAACGGGCAAACGGTGGAAAACGGGCAAACGGTGGAAAACAGGCAAACGGTTGAAAACGGGCAAACCGTTGAAAACGGGCAAACGGTTGAAAACGGGCAAACGGTTGAAAACGGGCAAACGGTGGAAAACGGGCAAACGGTTGAAAACGGGCAAACGGTTGAAAACGGGCAAACGGTTGAAGACGGGCAAACGGTTTGAAAACGGGCAAACGGTTGAAAACGGGCCAACGCTTGAAAACGGGCCAACGGTTGAAAACGGGCAAACGGTGGAAAACAGGCAAACGGTTGAAAACGGGCAAACGGTTGAAAACGGGCAAACGGTTGAAAACGGGCAAACGGTTGAAAACGGGCAAACGGTTGAAAACGGGCAAACGGTTGAAAACGGGCAAACGGTTGAAAACGGGCAAACGGTTGAAAACGGGCAAACGGTTGAAAACGGGCCAACGCTTGAAAACGGGCCAACGGTTGAAAACGGGCCAACGGTTGAAAGCGGGCGAACGGTTGAAAACGGGCAAACGGTTGAAAACGGGCAAACGGTTGAAAACGGGCAAACGGTTGAAAACGGGCAAAGGGTTGAAAACGGGCAAACGGTTGAAAACGGGCAAACGGTTAAAAACGGGCAAACGGTGGAAAACAGGCAAACGGTGGAAAACGGGCAAACGGTTGAAAACGGGCAAACGGTTGAAAACGGGCAAACGGTTGAAAACGGGCAAACGGTTGAAAACGGGCAAAC